CTCATTTCCCTCGGTGTGGGAGGTCGATATTTTCTCGGGATTTTGGACCTCCTCATACCGAGCTTGCACACCGACTGAATTGACCTTGGTGTGGCTTAAAGACTCAGATCCTTGCATAGAATCTTGAGACACTGACCTGATTTCCCTCGGTGTAGCTGGTCGATATGTTCTCGGCATTTTGTCATCCCCCACACCGAGCTGAACACCGAGTGAATCCTGGTCGATATGAATGCAAGGTCTTGACACAATTGAGCTTCTAAACCGGTTTTCTTTAGCCTCTGAACCTTCATAGTGCAAGTTCAAGTAAGAACTGGTGCTCCCTTCTGGTTTGTGAGAGTCTAAAAGATTCATGAGCTCCAAAGTTTCATCCTCGAGATAGCCATGGTCTCCATGTTCTTTTGTTAAAGCTATCTAAATATGATCTTCTGTGTTTAACTCCTCTAAAATCTCATCAGCAAGCTCATCCATGGTCTCAACATAGAAGACTTGCCCTTCTATTGTTGGCTTCTTCATCATTTCATTAACATTAAACTTCAGCCTTTCAGAACCAAGTTGAAGCTCAATTATGCCTCCTCTTACATCAATAATTACTCCTGCTGTGGCCAAGAAAGGCCTGCCTAAAATAAGAGGGTCAACTGGTTCCTCATCCATCTCTAGCACCACAAAGTCTGTAGGCACTTCAAAACCACCTATCTTTACTGGCAGATCCTCTAGCATTCCAATAGGTAACCTCACAGATCTATCAGCAAGGACAAGGGAGATTCTTGCTGGCTTAAAAGTTCTAAAGCCCAGCTTTCTGGCAATGGAGAAGGGCATTAAGCTTACTGATGCACCCAAGTCACAGAGACATCCAGCAAACATCAGAGGACCTATAGCACAAGGGAGTGTAAAGCTCCCTGGATCAGTTAACTTCCTTAGAATTGACTTTCTCTGAATAATGGCACTGCACTTATGGCTCAATACCACCATACCTTGAAGTTCTTTAGTCTTGTTCAGAATAGCATCTTTTAAGAACTTACCCAGCTTTGGCATCATTAGAAATGCTTCAATGAGAGGCATTGTGAGTGGTGTCTCGTTGAGAGCCTTCTCAAATACAGCTCTTGCCTTGTCTACAAGCTGCTTCTTGAATCTCCCTGGAAATGGGAGCTTGGGTTGGTATGGAGGTGGTGGAACATATAGCTTTTCTGGTTCAGGTTCCTTTTCCACCTCTTTACCCTTTTCTTTCCTTAATCTTTCAGCAACTTGATCATCTTTTAAGGCTGCCTCCCCCTCAGTTTGATCATTGTCCTCAATGATCACATTGTTGTACTCTACAGCTGGTAGCTCTTTGCCACTTCTCAATTTAATGGCTTTAGCATACTCCTTGGGGTTTGGTTCAGGCTTACCAGGTAGTTGGCCTTGGTTCCTTGAGCTAGAGGCTTGATTTTGCTTCAATTCCTTGATGTCCTGCTGCATGGATGCATACTGGCTTGCAAACACTTGTTGACCCTGAAGCAACTGTTGTAGAATCCCAACCATATCTGACCCCATCTGTGGCTGCTGGTGAACAGGTGCTGCCTGAAAATGATGCAAAACCGGCGCCTGCTGCTGGAACTGTGGTGGATCAAACCCTGGTGGTGCCTTTGGCTGCTGCTGTGAACTGAAACCAGAACTCTGAAGTGGTTGCTGATGCTGATTTTAACCCTGATTCTGAACAAACTGATTCTTTGGTTGAAAAGACCCTTGAAAGTTGGGAACAAAATTTTGTGAAGCTTGAGAAGTAGGGTAGACTTGGTCTTGTGGGTTTGCTACATTGGGATTCCTGTAAGAGAGGTTCTGATTGGCATTGGCATACTGATACCTTTGGAACCTCTGATTCCCAATATAGTTTAGCTCTTCCTGAGTAAGACCCTCTTCACTGATGTTCTCAAAGCATTGAGAAGGTTCCTCATACTCTCCTACAAAATGCATTGGCTTTTGTGTGGCCAATAACACCTTGTTCAGCTTGCTTTCAAGTGTTTTAAAGTCCTTCTCATACCTTTGATCCCTGCTTGAACTCTCACTCCTATTAGCTCTATCAAAGTCTTCTCCATATGTATCATTGCTCATTGCTAAGTTCTCAACCAGCTCTAAAGCAGCATGAGTCTCCTTTCCCAGAAATTTTCCATTGGAGGCAGTATCCAGCTGGTTCCTAATCTTGGGAAGAGCCCCTCTATAAAGTGTGCTGAGAAGAGAAGCTTCACTAAACCCATGATGTGGGCACTGGTTGGTGTAGCTCCTGAATCTCTCATATGCTTCACCAAAACTCTCATTGCTATGTTGAGTGAAGCAGGAGATTTGGTTTCTTAGCTTTGATGATCTTGAATTTGAGAAGAACTTAGACAGAAATGCCTGCTTGCATTGCTCCCAGGTCTGAATGGAGCCTCTTAGGAGATTCTTCTCCCATTGGTGAGCTTTGTCACCAGACTGAAGGGGAATAATCTGAGCTTGAAACTGTCCTCAGATACTCCATTTATCTTTGTCAAGTCACAAACTTTATCAAATTGGTCCAAGTGTTCCAAGGGATCTTACATTGCCAATCCATGGAACTTGGAGTTTTGAACCATATTCAGCAAAGATGCCTTGACTTCAAAATTGTTGTTTTGCACAGGTGGTGCTTGAATCCCTCCATACTGATGAGCATTGGCCCTGTCATTCTCTCCTACATAGACCTGTGGCTGCTCATATCTCCTTGGTTGGTTTTGGAAGGGCTGTTGGTGGTGAGCCTGTTGTCTTTGTTGCACATTGGCCTGGTGCCTTTGCTGATGAGCTGGAGCTTGTCCCTGGTGGACATAAGCTTGCTGTTGATGCACTTGTTCCTGATGAACATTACCCTGATGGAACCCTTGACCAGCTCCATTACCAGCTGCATTACCAGCTCCATTACCAGCGGCATTACCAACTCCATTACCCTGCTGCACTTGAGCCTGTTGCTCCTCTTGAACCTGCGGCTCAATGTCGACCACATGCTGTCTCTGATCTTCCATATCAGCCTGATCAGTCTGTCTTCCATGCCTATCCCTTCTCCTTCTTGGAACCAAAAGATTAATGTTGTCGTTTAAGGGGAAAGGTGGAGGACAGCTTCTTGATCTGGACTTGGTGTTCATGCACCTGAAACTCACAACCAGAACTTGAAAGAAATTAGAAAACACAAAAGAAAATGCTTGATCTCAAGAAATGAGACAATCTTAATGCTATCACTCCCCGGCAACGGCGCCAATTGATAACTAGAGGTTTTTAGGCTCTAAATGAGGGTTATCAATTCCTTTTGTCACTTTGCAGTACAAAGGGTATCAATCTATCATGTGTAGACACTATGATGCAGGATCAGTTCTTAATTCAAGTTAAATGAGTAAGGTTTTGATGTTACTTACACTAAACAAGCTTAAAACAAGAATTAAAGCTAATGATCAACTTAAACAAGCAAATGACAAGTGGTATGAATATGAGATGATGGAAGCATGAGATTCTAGACATGATAGTTTGCTAGGGTGCTTTGATGCTAAATCAGGAATGCTAATGACAATGATGAGACATGATTCAAGTGATTTATAACTCTAATCTAGATTAATCCTCTCATGAAGGCATTAACCTCTACACTAATCTATTTTCAAACCAAATCATCATTTGTGAAATATGAATCAATGAGCATTAAGAAACACTTCTAAAAGATCATTCAAGCAAATAACAAAACATCATCATGCAGCAAATGCTTAAACCTCTAATACAGCTCTTTCAGGAATTTCATCAAACACTTGTGGTGCAAAACCTAGTTTGTTGCTGGGCCAACCTAGGACAAATACCTAAAACATATATATAGGTAGGGTTTCTTGCTGGGCCAACCTAGGACAAACTAGGTTTTGGCCCAAAAAAGGCCCACAAAAACGTTATGAAGCGAAAATGTATCGAGGTGATTTTGGCCGGTGTAGGACGTCGATATTTCTTCGGCGATTTGAGACTGGTTACACCGAGACACTACACCGGCTGAACTCACCTCGGTGCGGCGTCAAGGATAGCTTCAGGGGATCAATACCGAACAGAATTCAGTCGGTGCAGCATCTCAATAATTCTTCGGAAATTTGGCTTCCAAAAGCCAGCCAAAAACGTCAAGGTTCCAAGGTAATACCGACCAGATTTTGGTCGATACTCCTTCTCGATATGAATGTAGACTGCTTGTACCAAATCCTTCATAACTCCTTGCTCACTGGTCCGAACCTCAATCTTCCAACTCCACAAACCATATGACGTCCTTAGCTCCAAGTTTATTGAAGGGCTCAACCCCGTATGACTTTGGCAAAGCCCCCGTCTCGTCGGTTCTTTGAGGCGCATCGCGTAAGACCTGATCGGGCCGCGAGACATGTGTTCCTTCCGATGGCAATATCTCCCAGTTCACTGCTCCAAATCGTCTAATTTTAAGTGTTCCGGAAACTCAACTCATTCCTTTTGATTTTTGATGAATACACCGGAGGTTGAATCGCATTGCAAGTCCTTCATCCCACGCGATCAAAGTGAAGGTCTCGTCTGCACCAAACCATCTGTCCGAGTTGCTGTGCACAGGCGAGGGTTCCTCTATGATCCCAGCTCCAAGTTGCTCCCAAAAGTCTCCAAATGGCCTGAGAATACTCCAAAAATGCAGGACACTGTAGGACCTAATGCAAATCTTAAACAAAGCTAGAACCAAAGAAAAACTCTAATAAAACTAGCTAAATGTATGCATGAGACTCGATATTTGGACAAAAAATGCAATCCTAAACATGACAAAATATGAGTATATCAATCACCTTGATGAATTTGACAGAGTTTGTAATCTGACAAAGATTAATGGGGTATCAGAGGATAGCTTCAAGTTAAGGCTGTTCCCTTTCAGCTTGGGAGACAAAGCTCATCATTGGGAAAAGAATTTTCCTAGAGTTTCTATTCAAACATGGGAGCAATGTAAGCTGGCTTTCCTCTCTAAGCTCTTCTCCACATCAAGGACTGACAAGCTGATGAATCAGATCTTAAGATTTACTCAACACAATAATGAGACATTTGGTGAATCCTGTGAGAGATTCAGAAGCTATACAAACCAGTACCCTCACCATGGGTTCTTAGAAGCTTCACTACTCAGCACTCTATACAGAGGATATCTTCCCAAGATAAGAAACCAACTTGATAGAGCCTCAAATGGCAATTTCCTAGCTAAGGAAATCAATGCACCAATGGAGTTGGTGGAAAACTTGGATATGAGCAATGATATATATGGTGAAGACTATGATAGAGCTTATAGAGGAGAAAGTTCTAGTGAAGAACAAATACTGTAAAGGGTATTAAGGAGCTGCAGATCAAGATTGACAAAGTGTTAGTTGCAACTCAGAAGCCTATAAACTATGTGGGAGAGTTTAATGAGAAGAACTTCTTTGAGAATGTCAATGAGGAGGGTTTACCACAAGAAGAGCTGCACTACATTGCCAACCAGAACAAGTTCCAAAGGTTTAACAACTTCAACAACCAGAACTTGTCCTACAGAGACCCCAATGTAGATAATCCTGGTGATCAAGTTTACCCCTCTCAACAAGCTCAGCAAGGATATGTTCCCAAGAACCAGTTCCAAGTAAACTTCCAAGGTCCACAAGCTTTTCAGCAACAAGCAGTTCAGAACCAAGGGAATAACTTCCCAAATCAAGTTAGTTTCCAGCAACAAAAATCTCCTCCTCTTGGATTTGGACAGCCACAAGTTCAACAGAGTACTTTTCAGCAGCAAGATCCTGATATCAGTGTTGTTCTCCAGCAGATCCTGCAGGGCCAACAAAAGTTTCTAGGTATAATGACCTCAGTTTCAAGATAGAGATACTAGGGACTCAAATCAAGACTGTTGAGAAAAACTAAGGCATCTCCACTTCTTATTCTTAAAGCTCCATTCCAGGCAATGCTGCTCCAAACCCCAAGGATTATTGCCATGCCATATACTAAAATGATGAGAATTCTGCTGCTGTTCAGGAAATTGAGCTCCTTCTTCATGGCAAGCTCTTAAATGAGAAAACCCTCACTAATGAGGAAGAATACGCCATTATAGAAGACTTTGTGAGCATGTTCTCTGATCTCATTGAGGACAATGAGAAAGAAGGTGGGGAGGCAGCTTGTTTTACAAGGAACAAGAAGATTTCTGATGGTACTGAAGACAAGGGACTGGGAACTGATCAAGAAACTCCCCAAGATGGAATCTTCAAACTTGACTCAGCAAATGTGAAGCCTACATCCTCCCAAAGTTGGGTAATCCAGGGAAATTCACTATCTCTCGCACTCTTGGCAAATTCAGAGTTGAGAATGCTTTGTGTGATTTTTGTCTCTCAAGTGTTAGTGTGATGTCTCTAGACATGATGGAGAGGCTAGGGATCAAGACTTTAATCACTACCCCACTTCAATTACCTTTGGAGATTCCTACTCAAAGAAACCATATGGGATCCTAGAAGACTATCCATTGAAGGTTGGTGAGTGCATAGTCCCAACTGATTTTGTAATCATGGAGATGAAGAAGACCAAGGCGCTTTCTCTATTGCTTGGAACTTCATTTCTCAACACTACAGGAGCAAGAATCGACTTTGACACTCAAAGAGTGGTTCTCACAAAAGTAGATAAAGAAGACTATTACCCTGTTTAGCCTCCTTCAGCTGAATTTTGTGGAGCTGTTGTTGAAGAGATTGATGAGCTCAAGGTACATGAGATGAAATATGTGGGAAGTGTTGGTACTATAAGAGGAGCTCAACCCCTTCCAGCTATGGAGAAGAAGAAAGATTCCCACATCAAAGCTGTCTATAAGTATGAAGATGGGGAGCCCTTTATTAGAGAAGAAGCTTGCTTGATTTCTTTTTCCCATAAACTAAGTGAGATAAAGCTGAACAACAACAAGGGTAATAGTTCAGGATCAAAAGAAAAGAACTCTATACCTGAATCTTCTTCTCAAGGCTTAACTCTCATCCATTGGAAATGTGAGTGATGAAGCTATAAAGTACAAAATGTAATGCAATGGAGGATCAGAACCATTTTCTGAAGTCAGGGAAGTTCTCACACAAGCCATCATAGACAATGGGCCAGATGGTATTCAAGAGCTGATTAACAAGGGTCTCAGGTTTGAATTCAAGGACAAGGGACCTGATGGTGCTAAAGAGCTGATGAGCACAGCCTTCACGCTTGAAATCATGGACAAGATAAGGAGCATCAATGCTCCTCCTCTCCCTCATTGAGAAAAGAGTATGAAAAGTCAAACATAGTGACATAAAAAAGTGTTGTTGGGAGACACCCTAAGCTTATCCTTGTGTATAAGTCTTTTTAATCTTTTCTTTTGTGTTTTTGGAATGTTTTGATGGGTTTTTTTAGTGGTCTCAGGTCTCCAAGGGTGTTTAAGCTCAGAGGCTTCAAGGAATGGCCACCAAAAGGGTGTTACAAAAGATGTCAATGTGTTTGGAGTAATCCTGCTCAGTAGCCTCGGTGTGAACCCCTCGGCATGGCCAAGCCGAGGCCCACAGGCTGAATGGAAAAGGGATTACCTTGGTGTCATGCCGAGGCCTTGGTGTTTTTGAAACGAAGGAAAGGGGAGACACCTCGGGGTAACCCCTCGGCCAAAGGGAGGCCGAGGTGAATTTACGAAGAAAAGTGGCATTACCTCGGTGTGATGCCTCAGGGTGGAGCATACCGAGGCCTAAGGTTACTAAACCCAGAAAAAGACATCCCTCGGCCACACACCGAGCCCATGAGCACACCGAGGCCCTCTTGCACGAGCTGAGGAGATCAAGGAGCTTCAAAGACTTGGGTCAAGGGAGACAGTTCAAGCATCAGCCTTTCTCCCTAAGTCGCCAGCACACAGTCCACCAATGGAGTCTTCTCCATCATGTTCCAACCCTCATTTCTATAAAACATATCTGGTAACACTCCAAACCTGTACATAGCATTACCATCTATTTTTTTCTTTTTCTTAGTTTATCTTTTTCATGTTTGTTTTCTATGTTCTTATTTTCTCTTTTGCATCTTGAGTCTCATTTGATCATGCATAGCATCTAAGTGCCTAGAAAAACCAAAAACTAAGTGCCTAGAAAAACCAAAAAATTGAAAATTTTGAAAATTTTCACACAAAAAAAAAATGTTCATGTAGCTGCATTCACATGATAGGATTGAGTCTAGAATTGCATAATCATATAGGTTTGCATCATTTGCATGGGAGTAATGATAGATTTCTTTGAGATAGCATCATTTTAAGAGTTTAGTTCATGGTCCTAGTTATTTGTTCTTTAATGCTTGCAAGTGATAAAATGTGTGGCGTTGTTTAGACCTTGATTGAAACAAGCTTTGAATTGAATTCAGCGTTAACAAGTGGAACTTTTAACCTGGCTTTGAATTATCATGTGATGCTTGCTTAGATGAACTTGTGGATACATATACATACTTGGGTTATCTTTTTCCTTTTTACCACTCTTGTTAACCCCAGTAGTTGATTTCCATCATTGAGATAGTTTTTCATGCCCTTAACTAAGTCATCTTTGAAGCCTAAACACTTTAGTGAGCGATGTGAGGGTTCAGATAGTTTTCCATGCCCTTAACTAAGTCATCTTTAAAGCCTAAACACTTTAGTGAGCGATGTGAGGCCTTGTTTTGAATAAACTTGACAGAAAGTGTTGGTTTAAAGCGACAAGAATAGGCTGTCATGTAGGTCTAGCTCTGCATCATGAGACTAGAGTAGGTTAGGATGGGATCTTGGGGAATCAGTGAGTCGAAAAGAGAGATATTGTGATGAGAACTAGGGGATGGAAAAAAAAAACAAAGTGGCTTGGGGTCTAGTGTTCAAAGAAAAGAAAGCTCTTGTGTTGAAAAGGAAAAGACTAGACTCTAAGTGAAAAGAAAGAAAGAAAAGAAGCCAAAAAGGATCAAGTGTCTAAAGAGATAAGAAAAGAGGCTAGAGTGTGCTACGTGAGAAAGAGCTAAGTGAAAAGTTTAGACCCCAAAGCTATTGTTGAAATGAAAGTTGAATCCCCTAGTGAGAAGTAGAATGAGAATGAAGTGAGAGGTAGATAGGGAAGGCAATAAAAGCCTTGGAAAAAGGGTAGCTTAGGAGTGTTATTCATGGGTTTAGAGTTAAGGTGAAAGATCAATTTGGGGCATTGGGTAGATGGGAGTCTATCCTTGTATGCATCAGTTGCTTCTAACCCTTAGCCTTCTGTTAAAGTTTATTCATTCATAGAGTGATCCCTTAAGCTGAATTGAACCCACTTCAGCATTGAATGAGATCATCTTTGTCCCATAACCTCATCTCTCAGCCAAACAAGTTCATTTGAATGAGCATCACTTTGATCGACATGGTTACAACTCAATGAATGTTAAAAGGCTGAAGCATAAGAATGCTTGTGTAGGTCAGGGTTTGAATTTGTTGCATCCAAAGTATTCCTTGTATTGCATTTCAGAACTAGTAACTAGGACCATGAACTATAAATTGATAGATAGAGAGAGACGATTATGCGTTAGAGAAGAAAACTCTGAACTTTAATCGATGATTCGCCGTCTATTCTCGTCTCTGACCAATCGATTCGCGTGGCGGATTCCGATTTTCGTCTACGGCATCACTTGGACGGCGTTTCTGACGACCACCGTCGCGATTATCTCACTCGCACCAGAGTTCGCCTTCGTGTCGGCGATTTACTCGTCTTCTTCTTCGGTGGAGTTCTCGCGGCGGTGCGGATCCGACGCTGCTGTTTTGGTTTCGTTGGATATCCTACGGAGGTGTTTTGTTTGCCGGCGAATCTTTTCCGGAGGTCGAAGATGGACCTCGTTATGCCACCGGTTTTTGCTTCCATTGTGGTGGCTGTTTCCGCTGTCGTCGTACGAACAATGGGCCTTTGGGAGGAAGAAGAAGCCCATTAATTTCGGCCCACTGTACCGTATTAACAACTACATAGACCACCATTCTTAAATGGTTTGTGTTATGTTCATCCTTTACAACCTTGTAATGTAGTCTCTTAAATTCATTTGGAGAAATAATTGGTAAAATAATTATAGTGAAATATATTAGGGGTAGTATTACATTTCAATTTTGTCCGTTGATTCTGTTTTTACTTGTTACAC